TCTCATCAGGTCACCTGATTCTACAATATTGAGCTACATTGCTGATGCAATACGTGTCTTTATAACTTAGCTCTGAAATGCTATGACTACACTTTAGAGTGAGCTGAAAACAAGAAGAATCCATTCAGGACTGTCTAGGAGGTGGCACAATGTGCTCTGCTACTTTCAGTTCCCACCTGACCCTCTTCCTTTCTCCTTCCTTTGTTTTTATTAGAAGACGGGGAAAGGATGGGAGAAAGAACCATGGCATTTTCAGAAGAATAGTGATCTGCCGATAGTTTACTTCTTCCTCTTTGGGGGAAAAGTCAAGTGGATATCTTGAAAAGTAGCTGGTCTAGCTGGTGCCTTATCGAGGAGAACTGGTCAGTAAAACTAGCAGCAAGACAGTGAAGAAGCTGAAGCCAGAACTCTCATGGATGGTATTGTGTTGTGGGGTGACTTTCTGAGTGTCCTTGCTTTCTGCCACCAAAAATCCATATATGATTGTCACAAGACAGCCAGCATGTAGGTATGTAACATGACGGGCATCTGAAGACAATGCTAGTCAGAGAAACAACACAGTCCACCAAAAGAGGATCCTAACAGTGGACACAGAAGCAAGAAGACCTCGATTCTTCTGTTTCTCTACCTAACCTCCATCCCAGAGGGGCTGAACCTACCGAAGGAAGAGGGAGTTTTATGTACCTAAAGTACTGCATTGTGGTACTTAGCTTTCTAGTACTGTGAAAAATTCCTGAGAAAATAATTTCATGTAGGAAAGATTATTTTGGCTCAACATTTCAGAGGCTTCATTCCACTGTTGGTTGGCCCTATTACTTTAGAGTGATGGCGGCAGTATATCACAGCGGAGAGGGTCTGTTAATTTCATGGCATTCAGAGAGAGGAAAAGACCAATTTCTTAGCATTCTTTAACAGGCATAATACCAGCGACCTCACTTCCTTCTGCTCATTCCCACCAACTAAAAGTTCCAACATCTCCCAGGAGTGCCACAGATTAGCCATTAGATATTTTGCATACGAGGGATATTTAAGATGTAAACCACAACACTGATGATGTTTAAAAAGGAGTTGAAGGAGGTAGTTTAACAGATCCAAATCCCACCACCACTTTGCATTCCTCAGGTTAGGCCCAACCTGAACTTTAGAGAGAGAAGATGGAATTTAAAACAGAATGAAGTTGGAGATACAAACTAGGCTTTAGCAAATGAAAGTGCCTATAGGTTCTGGCCACAATGATGTTAATGGTCAGGAAAGGAAAGTCTAACAGCTCGTGCTTGAAGGTAGTGAGAGCAGAAAAAGATATTTTGTATTTCCGCCGCCTCCCACTAAATTCATGGAAGAAAAGATGGTTGGATGAGAAAAATGAAGGTAAGGATTGAGGATGATCTTCAGATTTCAGACTTGGATTATGATTCTATAGGCAAAGCCACCATGCAGTGTAACAGTGTGATAATCTGTAGCAAATGTTGATTTGGGGATTTATTGAAGATGAAGACTATATCTTGGTCATCATGGACTCTCCTGCATCTTGTGAATGCTTTGTTTCCACTAGTGCCTTGAAGTGAAGAAAGTGGAAATATAGGTGGAGAGTTTATAGTTTCAAAATGGGAAAAAAGTATATATTTTCTTGTATTTTATACTTTATATATCTAGACCAAGCACTAGGAAAAAAGAATCAAGGTTGGAGTAAGAAAAGTGATCTGTTTATCTCATATTTCTCTCAGTGCAAGACTCCTCTAGACTCAGAAGCTCTTTTAATGTCATTCCTTTGCTTGCTCCTCCTAGCATGGATGACTGAAGCCTCAACTGGCCCAATTTTACCCCATTTTGTCCTGTTTCATTGAGGTCGTGTTCTTATGATTCTGCCCAGTGACCTGATTTTTCAGCAAGAAGAAGACAGGAAAGAAGGAAGCAAGAAAAAAGCAGACAGAAGCAAGAGGTGAATCTTGTCAACTTGCTCCTGAGGAGGCAGCCATTTGCTTGTATGATTTTCCCGGCCAGCGTTTCCTCACCTACTACTTCTTGCTTTTTGTTATTCACGTCTTACTTAGTATCACTGAAGTGGATGAGCATAGGAGAGTCTCCATATACCTCTAACAGAGTATCAGCACATTTTCTCAAATAGAAGACTTAGGGACCAGCCAAAGAAAAGGTAGAAAGCATACTCGTGTTTAATTTCAATCCATTTAAAACACTGCCATCTCTTTATCAAGCATGTGAGAATCTCATAGTAATCACAATTACATTAGAAGAGAAAGTCTCTAAGTACATTATTTGGGGTTTGAGTCTAAATTTGAATTAACTGAAGGAAGTACAAAACAATTAGATTATTTTATAGAAGTTGGCCAGTTTTTTTCTGCAGAGAGCCTGACAGCACCGTAGGCTTGGTGGACCATAAGGCCTCTGCTCAATTCTGCTATTATAAGGAGAAAATATTCTTAGATAATCTGTACGTGGTACATGCAGCTGTTTTCCAGTAAAACTATATTTGTGGACTCTAAAATTTGAATTTCACATGATTTTCAGGTGTCAAAAATACTATTTTTTAAAAATGGTAAATCCTTTCTAGTTCATGGGTTTTGCAAAAACATGTGGCAAGCTAAATGTTGCTTGCCAGCCTCTCCTTTAAATGGTTCATTTATTTCATTATGTTCAACATCTTATTGAAAGTGCCTTGTTTTTAGAGATGTCATTTTCTTCTCTGGTGCATTAAAACAGAAGGAAAAAGAGTCTTTTTTTTTTTTTAAAGAAAAACTTTCTAAATGCTTCAGGTAAGATTGTTAAGAAATGATCACACTTTGAGATAACTTTTTCTCTATCTCTGTCCTACAGTAGGCAATTCAGTCACAGCTAACTCAAATACAGATATATTTTTTCTTTTATCACTCTTCAAGCACAGAAATCAATGGAATTAATCACAGAGGCATGTGCCTAAGGAAAAACAAAAAGTGACTTCTGCCATTAGGGCCAAATGTGGCACTCCAGGATGCAAGCCAAGTAAGGCCGAGAGCTGGCCTCGATGAGGTATGTCCCTGCTGACACCCACACATGCCTCAAGATAGAAGTGATCCCAAATGGTAATACTGCAGCTTCTTCCAAAATTTGCACATATAGAGTCTTCTTTATTCTTGTCTTTCTGGCCAGTAGAAAGCTTTGAGCCATTCTCAAATCTTACTCTTGATGCAGGGAAAATATGACACAAGTCTTGTGGTCTGCTCCTGTGTAAGCGTGTTCTTTGAAGATGTGGATGCCCCATGAATAAAGGTGTAACTTTTCCAGCCAGCTGTGGGGATGCTATTAAAAATACTTTAGATTGGGCAACTTATTAATACTAGAAATTTACGTCTTACAGGCTGGAAGATTTAGATTTAGAAGTATCAACAGACCTGAATTCCGGTGAAGGCTCCATTCACACAGACAGCATTCACACGTTAACAAGAGGAACAAGGCCGTTCCCCTTTGCCTTCTCCGATAAGGGCACCAGTCCCATTCCTGAGGGTTCACTCTCATGACTTAATCATTTTCCTAGTAGTCCCACCTGCTAATACTATGACAGGAGGTTTTAGATTCTAAAATATAAATTCAGGCAGGACACACCAACGTTCACACTATAGCAATGCCCAACCATCCTTGCACTGAACACGAGGCCTATTTCTGTATTTGTGTCTTCTTACCCTTTTCTAAGTTCTTTTCTAAATTCTCTCAGGGGTACCTGACCATCCGTGGCTTGTTTATGAAGCAGAAGCCAAGCTAGATTTGGGAAAGAAACTTTCTGCAGAAGACCCTAAAAACATCCCACAATGCTCTTTCAGAAGGACAAAGGTACTTTTTGTTGTTAGAGGGAGCATGAATGTTAGAAGATCTTCTTCTGAATTTCAAGGGTTCTCATAACTTCAACTTCTACTTGAGTCTTGTTTGAGAAGATCCATTTATAAAAGACAAATGCTGTACCTTGTTGTCCCTCTCACATCCTCCTAGTACGAGTGGATTTATCCTTATCATAGACCTAGCTTCAATTTAGATAACTTCTAAAGACTTCTTTTGCCCTAAATTCATTGAGAAAGTGTAACTCCAGTGGCTTTTAGAGGGCTGCTTGATATCTATCAAGGAAATGAGGAAAAGGAGTTCTTTATATCTATAAAGCAGGGGTCAAGGTCTGCAATTGAATCCAGCCCCCAGCTGTCACACACACACACACACACACACACACACACACACACAAACACAAATTTTGGAAAATTACTGAGCTAATATTTACTTTGGAGAGGACTTCTTGTGAACATCTAGATTTCTGGCTTCACCTGAAATATTAGAATATTTGGAGATATTAGACACATGCCCTGTAAAGACACGGCTTGGATGGCTCCCAGTTGTTGACCAATAAATTTTAACTCACACAAAATACATTTTGGGTGCCCAATTAAGAATGTGATAGAATAGACTACTTATATCATTGATAAAACTAAACCAGTAAAGCAAGCACCTGTCCTAGCTCCAACCTAATAATCTTTTTGCCTCCTTTGATGATTTCAAAGTTTAGTAATGAATCACTCAGTCAAGTATGACAAAAATCAGTGAACTGTATGTTTATATATCCATGAGATTATGCATATAAAATTACTCATCACTTAATGCTGAATTTAGGCACTGCAATTTCATCTCCCTGATTATGGAAAATCAATATGTTAGTAATTCTAGAAGGAAAAAAAACCACGCAAACTTTGGATACAGCAATGGAAATAGGAGTCATGACAATTTTAAGCTGAAACACACAGATCCTTAATGTTAAAAAAGTGGACAATTAAGCAATGTGTTTATGAAGCAGGTATTTTTATCTTAAAGTTCAGTGTCATCAGCGTTTTCGGCGATGTAAATGTATAGGTTGGTGCCTCTGCCCTAAATTGGCCCACAGGAAGCTCTTCTTGTAGCCAATGAGCCAATAATCTGATGATGTAGCCAGCCTTTGAGATGGGTGGGGCACAGGAGAATGAGTCACCTACCTGACCAGGTCGATGACCCGCTCCCTGGGTGCTGCACTGACCGGCTCATCATTAATCATTACGATCTGATCTCCCGGGATCAGTTTGCCTTCCGAGGGGCCACCTGGAAACAAAATAGTGAAGACCATTGGTCACCCATCCAAATCCTCCTTTCCCTGTCATGACTCATGACCAGTGGTACCACTGGACAGACCAAAATTCACATCTGGGTGTTCTTGCTACAAACCTGAGGCTCAGGCTGGTGCCCGACCAATTAAATCAGAATCTTTGAGAGTAGGACTCAGGCATCCACATTTCTCTAAAATGTCTTGGGCAAGATTGGGACTCAGGTTGGTAGTACGTTCCACACTGTGAATCACCTATGGACCCTGTTACTGAAGGTGCAGGGGAGTTAATGTCTTACTCATGAGCTCCTAGTGCTGATGTTGCTGGGCAAAAGGCCAGGCCCTGAAATGGCTAGACTTATAAAAGAGGGCCAATAGGTAGACAGTTAGCTGTGTTAATGTCCTGTGCCAAAGCTAAAACAATGTGGGTCCAGTTGGATTTGTATAAAATCCCACTTACTTGCTCATTACAAGCAGGGAGACTGCATATTGTGGGAAATTATAATGCATCTCTATAAGAGGGTGTTCAAAAGAACCTATTTTATGATTGATCTTGTGTTACCTGCTGTTGAAATGCTCTCAAGGAAGTGAGAGTTTTCCGTGGGTTGGATGCTAACTAAAAGTGAGAGTAATTTTGTCATAAGCACCTTAATAATTGTGAAATGAAGGAGGCAGAGTTAGGTGAGACACTGGTTAGGGGAGAAAAAGAAGCAGCATTTACTTATATGGCAGAGAAGCATGGTGGTCACACTCCTGGTTTGCAGTCTGCTTGTGTGTTTGTCTCTCTACTCGTGATTATTGAAGAGTCTTGTTTGGTCACAACCCATCACAGTCGCAGAGTGGCCTTGTCTACTGGTAATAATTAGTGATATTGTTTGTGTTCAGCATCCATCTCGGGATGTCAGAGGCTGCTTCGTTCTCCCTGTTGGTTTTCCAGTGAGGGAATGCAAAACTAACATTCGCTGGCAGCTGTTATGTGCCAGGCACTGGGTTAAATGCCATGTCTGTCAATTTCACTGAATATTGCAATGCTTTCCATATAATGAGATCACTGAGGCTAATATCAGTGAATGAACTGGCATGGAGAGAAGACTGGTTCTCAGTCTTGGACTGCAGACTCCTCCAAGTTCAGAAGGCCAACATGTCTTTTGAACTTGTTCTCACAATTCAAAGCCTCATCAATGCCAGGACTTCTGACACACAAACTTAAAGCCGTATCTGTGTAAAATACACATCTATATTTAAACAAAACCCAAAATCAGTTACTTGGATCATTCTCACATATCTATACAGGTAAAATGACCTCCTAAATATTGATATGGTACTATATGGTAATATATTTTTAAACTATATTTGCAGAGATCTGGCGGTCTGTGACAGGTACAGCTGAAATGTTATCTTTCAAATAATATCGCTATTACTATTACTGTTTTGTAATTGAAATGAATACTCCATGCTCAGAACAAGAAACTAATATTCATTCAGTTGTTCTTCACCCACCCAGACACTTAGCATATGTGTCACTCAAGCTGTAGCATAAATCTGTCTTCTTCCTGGGGAGTAAAATAGTAGGAAAACCTTAATATGCACTTATATCAATGGCAGAAGATACTCATTTCACAGACTTGGAAACTGAGATTCGTGTATGCACACATAAGGAATTCAGAAAAATCATTTGAGCGTCTACTGGATTATGTGTAAGCAGTCACTGCAATTCAGTCAAATGAATGGTTAGACATCAAATGCAGGGCAAGCACAGAAAAGTTTTCAAAGTAGCTATCTGGAAAATAGGTATTAAGCATTCTGAGCAGAAAGCCACCTCAGATCAACAGGACATTATTACACTTGCCCTACACTTTTTGATCAAATAGAAATATTCTTGTTTAACCAAGCAAGTTCAATCAAGAATTCTGGAAGAAGAAACACACAGTGTCTTCCAAACTATAAAAAAGGGGTAGCCTTCTGACAACTGTCTCAAGCCTTTACTCCTAAGACTGGATTGTCTCATATAGAAAATCTAGTCACACCACTAATTTCTCTTGGGACTCGAGGAGAGTGATTTTTATGACAGATGTACTTTCTTTAGCCATAGTTTTCATTCATAAAATAAGAGAAACTGGTATTCTTTGATATCTTTTGGCACTTTCCGTATGCTCTTCTCAAAATTAACAGTAGGTGTTAATGTGGCTGAAGCTAAGGAAAGCTCAGGATAAGGAGGGTGGGAGGTTAGGGGAATAATGAGACAATACAAGAAAGTAAAACTCACAAGACTAGATTCTCCAGTGGGCTCCTAGGAGGACACATAGCTTAGAGAACCTCCTAACTGGAGCTGTCACCTCAGTATCATGAACCAGCACAGCAAATATGTTTGCGCTGAGAAGGAAGCATTCTGTATATGCACCCATAACACATTATATGTGAGGCATGATCTATGCATGCATGTGTGGGAAGAGAATTATGTCTGCTACACATATTCTCTTGGCGTACATGAATAACAGTTGTCTCTTGGTAGTAGGAGTCCAGGTGATTTTTAAAATTTTCTTTTCCTACTATGTATATTGTTTATGTTTTTGGACAAAGTCCATACATTATTTCATTATAATCCAAAGCCACACATCTATTCTGAGAATGAAATTTTCATTTGTGTCGAGTTCAACAATCACACACTGAGAACTAAAATATGATCTACATCTAATGAAGTACAGGATTCAGCAGACAGAATAAGTTTTGTGCTGAGAGAGTGGTAGGAGGGAACAATACTTTCTCAGCACAAATTTAAAGTGGTTGATTATATTTGTGGTGCTTGCCTGGAGCACATTATATCAAAATACTGAAAAATGAAAAATAAAATCAATTTTAAATGTGTGCACCAGTTCACTAGTTGACTTCTGCTTCCTATAACTGACAAATCCAACTGGTCAAATATTTGAGAGTGCAATAATGATAAATGTCATTATGGGATGGTAAGTGCTATATGTCTAGCACTCTTACTGCATCCTCTCCATAGCCCTTTATGCTGGGTACCACTGTGATAGATAGATACCACCAGCATAGATGAAAAAGAGAAATCACATTGAACTGAAAAGGAAGGTACCTGTAGAAGTTGATAGTGGAACAGCTGTGTACTCTAATATTAATGACTCAGATAAAATTGCTATCATATCTTAGGATATAAGGGATTTGACATGTATTACATTGGTCAGCATTTCCTGTATAACAAACCACCCCAAAACTCAGAAAGGTGTCCAATATTTTTTTTTCCTCTCATGCTTGTGGGTTTTTAAGACAACCACAGACTGGCTGATTGAGACTAGACTTGGTTGGGCACTGTAGATCATGCTGTCTTTAACTCAAAGCTGCCAACTTGCTGGGTTCAGGTGATCAACCTGGAGCTCAGGCTGAAGAAGTAGCAGCCACCAATGGAAAACTCTCTTCTTATGATCCTGGTAGAAGCTCAAGACACAAAGTCAACTGCATGAGCTCATACGAAGGATGTGTTTATGCAATTTTTGCTAATATGCCATTGGCCAAAGTCAGTCACCTAGTCCAGTCCAACAGCAGTGGGGTCCGTAAGTCTCTCCTGCTTCCAGTGGGAAGGGAGGGGAGTATGTATCTTTAAGTTAATTCAACTACCTCAATGACTAAACTGTACTAGAATTTAAACACTACTTTCTGCATTATTTTTTATAATGAAGGAATTCACCACATGTTTTACACATAAAGCACACTGTCAGACTTTAGCATTTGCATTTGTATGTTAAGAACTAGGTCATTTCTATGGTTACAAATGATGGATCCATATTTTCTCGGATTCAGGTAGTATGATAGCTTTGACAGTTTAAAACTTAGTTGGAGGAGACATTTCTGTTCCTCTGCTGTTCTGACTCCACCCAGATATTTGGAAAATTCAGCCAGGCCTCATAGCCTGGACACTTATGAAAGTGAACAGTAGTCATTCTGATAGGTTGTGAAGAGTGGTCCCAGGACACCGAAGGGTGGGGTTGGATCCTTACCTGGTGTTACTGAGCGGACGACCACTGGCTTTTCACTCCCTGCCACAAAGCCAAATCCCAGCACAGGGTCCCTCCTCATTTCCACCTTCCGAGGAGCTGGAGGGATGATTTGGCAGCTCTCTAACCGAGGGTCATCGAATGGAATTGCTTGTGTCATGTGACTGTGGGAAAAGCAAATACAAGAGACAGGAGGCATCAGTGCATGCATTAGGCATTGGCTTGCCAATCACGTGCTCGCCAACTATGACATCTAGCCTCTTTCTGGTAGAGAGTGAGAAATATCTAGAGAGACCCACAGTTATGCTTCTTTCAAGGCTTCCTTATTCCTTGGAAACTCTCAACCCATTCTGCTTTAGGACTTTGCACTGGCTGCTCCCCAAACTGGAATGCTTGTCTTGCAGGTTTGAATACAGCTCGCTTTTTCCTCTCCCAGGCTCTTGCCTACATATCATCCTGATTCCTTATGCTTCCAATACACTTCCATCTCTTCTATAGTTTTAGCCATAGCACTAATCTCCCGCTAAGGTGATACAGAACATACTTATGTTTATTGTTTTGCTCTCTACACTAGAATTTATGCTCCATGAGGGCAAAGGATTTAGTTTTATTCATGGATTTATCTCAGGCACTGTGATCATTAATCCTGATATGTCCGTCTCATTGGATTAAGAAACACCTAGCCGTAGTGTCAAACATGCTGCTGTGTATGTCTGGGTGGGTCACGGAGGCCTGACCTTGAGGACTATAGAAGGTTCATTACCCAGTCCTCTCTGGGATAGTTCTGCACTGCTTCCCAGCTGCCATGGACCGAGCAGCTTTGCTTCACCACAATGATGCTTCTGCTTTGGAGCCTGATGATTGTGGTATGAATTCCCCAGAATCACAAGCTAAACTAAACCTTTTCTCCCTGCAAGTGGTGGGTATCACATACTGTGTCTCAGAAACAAGACAGATACCTAGAACAGTATCTGACACATAACAGAGTCTCAATGAGTAACTAAATTAAGTAGAGAAAAACAGGTGTTTCTGGAAAACTATTGATTTATTACTGACACTCTGAGAAACTGTCTCAGACGGACATAGACACTTAGAAGTTAATATCTATGGCTGTTGCCCTCATAGAGATGGAGGCATTGTGGATTATATTTGTGGTGACATACTATCCTCATGCCAAATACATCTAACTTGTGAAAGAAGTTGAGAATTTGGCTCTGAGAATTTACTTTCTGGAAAGATTTTTGAATGACATAAATGATTTTTTTCATTAACACCATAACTTGTGAATTCTTATCTGTAATCTATATTTGATGTTTGTATAGTATTTGTATAGTATCTGTCTAGTATAGTGTTTTTGTTTGTTTGTTTTCTGCATTTTGTGAGACAGCGTCTCACTATGTAGCTCAGACTGGACATCATGATCCTCCTGTCTCAGGCTCCTGAGTGCTGGGTCGAAATGCTCTGGATTCACAAAACACCACTGAGAATAAGGGAGCAGAGCAAGCATTATTATCTACATTTTGCCGATAAGGAAGCTGAGATAAAAATAGTGGCTCATTATCACTCAGGAGCCATAGCTTATACACCAGAACGTCTAGTGAAAGATCAGTCCCCATAATTTTGATAGCATCTTGACTCACACATTATTCAACGCAGCCTCCTTCGGGGGCAGAGTTATTAGTTTGAATACTAGATATCTCCTTAAAGTAATGTAAACTAAGATTATTTCAATGACACAGGCTTAATTCAATTTTTTTCTTTCTAATCTTCTTCAATAAGTAAAAGAATATCATTTTCAAATACCTTGAATGGTGCTATTCTATAGGCCATCTGGACAACATATTGTTCAAATTTAATAAGGAAAGACAGGGAAGAATGAATCCTGCTGTCCTTCTGTATAATTAATAAAAGTTATATAAGGTCAATGAAAACCCTCTATAAGCTGTCCTTTAGTTATATATCACTGTGTAGGAAAATAAAATATTAAAATCCCTTTAAAGGGAAAGGGAGTGTCTTCAGTTTAGCTGCTTATGACCTGGAATGCTAGGGAAGGGAAAGTGATCATTTGTGTGCCACATACTAACACTCATCTGTTACCATTTTTATCTTTAAAAACTGTTTTATGATGGAAGCTATTTTTCAAAGCCCCTCTTTGCACATGCTGTGACAGGAAAATAACTGGGTTGAGGTCACACTCTTTTCAGGTGTAAGCTACATATGACTCATACCAGGGCTATGCATTTTAAGTGTCTACATAAGGCCAGTTACGTAATTTGCAAGAAGATTGCAAATGAGAAGGTGGGCCCCTTATTCAGGCATGATTTATAATGTTTCCAGACAGAATGTTAAACCCAGACCAGAACTCTGTGTTATTATTACAGGTCATGTGCCCACGAAGCTGACCTCGGTATTGTGCTACCCACAATGTGCCACCATGACTCTAGAAAATCCAGTCTCAGAGTGGAGTGATGGTTTTATAGGCATGAAGGAGAAGGGCTGCTTTACGTAAAGTTGTAGGTATCTGTATGCACCCCAAGATTAGAAATGACTCTCATGATAGGGACAGATGAAGAGAGGCAGGCAGAAGATCATGTGGAGGGGCCTGAGAGTTGAACAAAATTCAAGAACCTGAGTAAAGCAGCAAAACTAATGCAGAGTATGCCTTGGCATCTGGGGCTGAAGCTTCAGGATGGCAGGAAGTAACTGAAAGACAGGGAAGCGATGGGGAAGCTGGGGGCCAGGTCATAAAGAGGACCCCTGATTCTTCCACAGGACGTCCCACTGGGTAGGAATTGACTTCCTGGCACTGAGTCCTCCCAGACCTAAAACAGTCATGGTCGGGCATGCCTGAGGGAGAGTGTGATCAGCTAGGTATGGTATACTTATTTTTTTGTCAGAAAGAATCATATCAAAATATGTCATTCTTGTGCTACATCTAGAGAAGATCCTGGATCTTCTTCTTTGGTGGAAAAAAAGAAAGGGAGGGAAAGAGAGACAGGAAGCAAGGGGAAAGAGGAGAAGCAACACTTTTGGCACCTGACTATGATTTCTGAGTTTTTACCATAATCTATAATATACATATGGCTAAAACAGGTCAGGTTTGTTGCTGCTAAGTGACTTGCTAATAGTCATATGTTGTAGAACAAGCCTGGCTTAGATCTCAATTCCAAGAATGGAGATGAACTGGGTAAGACTTTTCCTCACTCTGCTGCCAGTTCTGTGAAAGCTTGCAGGAGTGATTTCTAAACTTTGCTACACATTAGGACCTGGGGAGTATTAAAAAAAATGAATACTCAAGGTTTACCCCATACCAATAACATCAGAATATCTGGGGGTGGAAACCAGAATCAATTTATAAATAACCTCCAGGCGATTCCAAGGTGAGCAAAGTTTGAGAATGATTCACCTATCCAAGAAAGGTATGTTACAATGAACCTCCTAGACAACAAAAGAAAAGAAGACATGAGTGATTTCCTCGCTTATCTCATGAAGCATGCATTGTCAATGTAGGGTATTTAAAATATCTGTAGCTTGATTATCCTCTTCCTACTCATGACAAAGTAATAGTAGCTAATGGTTCAATGCATCATTCACTCAATAACTATTACATTATTCTAATGTAATAATGTAAATTGACATTTATTAAATATTAATTCTATACTAAGCATTGTTTGTTCTAAATGCCTTCCATATGTTAATTCACTTGGTCCTGGAAAACAACTCCATAATGCACTCCTTCATTCATTTAGTTAACCTATTAAACACCCACTAGATTCTCTGTTATGGGAATACAAGAGGAAAAAAAAAAAGGTGACAACAAATGAAACATTTACTCTAGTGTTGAAACACAGAGAATAAACTAGTCAATTAGTAAAATATATGATAGATGGGGTTTTGTAAATAGTAAGGAGACCGTTAATGCAGGCAGAGAGGGTGGCTAGAGAGTTTCAGACTGAGGGGATTTTAATGTCCCACCAGGGACAGGAGGAGAACTTGCTACACAGAGCATGAGATGCAAAGGGCCTGAGGTACATACTGGTGCTGGGTGAGAGCATGTGGAAGGCCAGTGTGGGTAGGTGGAATTTGGAGGCAAAGAGGGGAAGAATAATGGAATGAAGACAATGGGAAGAGATCACAAAGACTCTTGGCAGGACTTAGTCTTTTTTCAGTCTTCTTTTTATTTTTATATGTTTGTGGTGCATCAGGAACACAGAGGAGTTGGTATGTCTAATTATACCTCTTATTTTTCTAATTTCCCCTTCTCATCCCCCATCCCAGCATATTGTGGTCCCTTTCCCATTTGCAAAAGTTCTATATCCTTGTTTCCTATGTCTTCTATTTTCTTTTTAAATGTATTTATACTTTGGGTTTCTCATGTAAGAGAAAATATATGATACTTAAGCATGTGTCATGTCTGATTTATTCCCTTAACATTATGGATTCAAGTTTTCCTAAAAATGATTCAAATTTATCCTTCTTTATAACGGAGCACTGCCTTTCTCTGACTGACATAGAAAGCCACTGGAAGATTCTGAATGGGATGATGTTACATGGCCACTGTGTTAAGAGACCAGGGGACACTGGTAGGTGCAGGGAGAGCATTTCAGGGCCAAACTGCATTATTGGTGACCAAAGGTAATGATGGCTTGGACCCAGGTGAGAGGGACATAGGTGGCTGAAATCGTTGGGCTTTTGTTAAGTTTTGAGGTCATTCTGACAGAGCAGGGGCAGGACTGCTGCTTTGGAACCTTCTTCCTGCATACATGTCCTCTCAGTGAAGATGGACCTATGAGGATGTTGCTTGTGGTACCTACAGTAAGGGGATATTTACTCTTCTAAGAGGCTGTGTTCCCTGGTCTGCTCAAGAAACAAATGACCAGATACAGAGCGACCATGAGAATTGATGCGGTTGTTTGTGTTTGGAGTGAGGCTTTGGAACCAGACTGCCTGGATTCCAGTCTTAGCTCTTCCATTTCCTAGAGGTTTGACCCGCTCCAATTACTTCATTAGTTTATCCCTCAATTTCCCCATCTGCAAAATGATGTAATGACTACAACAGTCTCATAAGATACTTGTAAAAAGTAAATGATTGAATAGATGTAATAAACTCAGCAAATGTCACATAGTAAGCACTCAAAAAATAATTTGTTGCTATTTTCATCTT